CCCCCCAAAAAAAAAAACAAGAAAGAAAGGAAATAAATTGTTAAAGCTACAAAACATTCTTTGCTGGTCACTGTCATCGTACCCCCGTGTCGTTTTACTGCCGTATCCCAAATTCCTCGAGAATGACTCGAGAATGACTCGTCGTCCTGAATGATGCACGTACATACCTGTTGTCAGTGCGCGCAATGTCTGGACACAGTTGTCTTACGTGTCTTGTTTGTGCAGGTGGGAGTCAATCAGTCGCCAGCTACGAGGACCTGAGTTCGAGCAGCTTCAGCTCGACGAGCAGAGCCTCCTTGGACGCGAGAAGCTCGCCGACGCCATCCTATGGGGCTGAAAATATGATGGTCTTCCCCGGCGATAGTAGCGGCTCCATTTGAGATTACTTGAGGTGCGCGGCGATTCTGCCCAGCTGGCTGCGCTGCCTCCGATAAAGACAAGACGTTTGGCTGTGCTGCTCGAATGTACGTTTGATAATCAAAAGATGGAAGCAGCGCCGCGGGCCACGCAGCAACCCGGCCCGATCTCTCATGGACCCCGGCGGCGCGTCAATGCCGTCATGGCTTTCGCGCACGAGTGATTCTCCGTTACTTTGAAAGAGATGGGAAAGCAAGAAAAGGAATTCCCGATTGCTTCGTTAGCGAACATCCTGACACATCCTTCGCGGAGAACGATAGAGAAATGGGGAATGGAGTGCGAATGGGACATTGGCGCTGCAGAGACAGGGAATTAGCGTAGCTCCGTCAGCGTATCGAAGGCATCGCTGAGTTTCCCGCGACAATGGGCTTCTTTCTTATTCGTATGTCCACGTTCTGTGGCCCAAGGAGAGATAGCAAGCGAAGAAGGCAAAGAGGAGAGGAGAGCCAAGCAGCACCCTTAAGTACCGTTAAGCGCCGTTAAGCGCCGTTAAGCGCCGTTAAGCATCGTCAAACATCGTGACACGGCTATTCGGTGAGGAATGGCGAATTTAGCCCCAACGCACATGACAGAAGCGCGCGGACCTGCAGAAGGTGCTTTGAGCTGTTGAAAGAATATCGGATTTTTACTGAGCCTTTGTGGATGGTGCACAGGTGAGGCCGATCGAATCGCACAGGCAACTGTGATTCGGATAAACGGCGGACACTCGTCTTGCGATGGCCAATAATTCTCTAATTAACGATCAGCGAGCAGAGCGACGAAACGCGTTTCGTCTTTTCGAAAGAATTACTTGGCTGGGCTTTACGTGCGCTCGATGTAATTTATATGACGATGGGATTTTTAAGTGGCCCTCCTCGTGCACCATTAATTCCTAATAAAATCGTTGCCACGTTTTCTCACGACACGCCACACCTACGCGTCTCGGGTCCGGTGGCCACTTTGTCCTCTCGAAACTCGTGCGGCATTTAACTAGGGTGGGCGTGTGGCACCGGCTTGACGGCGGCCTATATATTTTTGTACCCCTTACTTTTTAAAATTTCCAAAGTTAATGGCCGATACCAAAGAGGCGGGGAAAGGTCGGATAAGCCGCGAAACGTTTGCCGATGCGATTTCTTGGCTGTGCGTAATGGATCTAACCGATGTCACGGACGCAACGCCTCCGTGTCCCTTCCAATCCTTATGGCTGCTGATTCGCTGCATTCGTCTCCGGCGGAACACAGGGTGGAACACAGGGTGGAACACAGGTTTGCTAGCATTCGAAGCACGCGAGAGGAAACGCTTATCCGGATAATAAGCAAATGTCGATTCACCGGTAGCAACGCGTCATGCGTCCCTTCCTGGCGAGATCCCACTGTTTCAGGGTTACGGTTTTAAAACAACTATCTGCACGGACACCGATTTACAAGTGTACTCCATTATGAGTGTCAGGCTGATCGTTGTGACGACGCTGGAGTCGAGACTGTGCGCGATTCACGTGTCCTGTAGTTCCGCGTGCCTTTATTTTCGTATTATCCATCGGCATCCTAGTTGTGGCAAATATGCCTCTGGCTCCTCATTCTCATTTTTACTTTATTTTTCTTTCGTATATCTACTCCCTATACATGTTATTTTCTTTTATTCGCCGTCGACGTCGCACATTCACATGGAATCAATTTCGCTTTTTCTCATTTGTCTGAATGATTATTTACGGTTTAGACTCGTTACGTTTCAGACGATACTTTCTTGGAGACTGCACCATTTACGTGGCTCTCTTTTGAAAGTTTCATAGCCGTGATATTTTCCAAAAATCTCATCTCTACATTCCAACGTTTTTTTTTGTCGCGCTCTCCCTCTCCCCTTTCGAAGGTTTCGGTAGCATTATTCGTAAATATATGCTCTCGAGTGCAGAAGAAGAAGAAGAAGAAAAACGTAGTAGAGGATCCTTCGTTCGTGGTCGATTACATTCTCGTTGGTGACACGATAATTTAAGCTGTGATTGTACTACTACGGATTATGACTTACAGCTCGGGATACAATAACAAAACTAGTGGTTATATTCATTACAGATGTTCTTTTATTAAATGAAATCGCTAATCCTAAGTCTAGCATTAAGGATCGAGCGTAAGTTGCGCGCAGGGTTCGAGCGAACTACGCGTCTGCATTTACTTCCGTTTTTTCTCATTTCGCTGATTATATCTTTGTTTTAGCTTTACACCCAGCACACCACAAACTAACGATTGTGTCGTCAATCTTAAAGTTTCCTATTCTAAGGCGCATTATAGTTATAAAACACTTCGGTTTTGTCCCTGAGTAGGAAATTGTAATATTGCCGATACGTAACTATTCCTTCGTACTTGCTTAACAATTTTCGCCAAAGGACGAATTTTTACATTGCAAAAGATTCAACTGAGCGCCTTGCTGGCCGACCCTGCGCACAGAATCAATTTCATACTCATATATATTTTATTATATTCTCTATTATCCAAGAGATGATAAAACAGACGTCTACTGGCGTATATACATTATACACTGTGCGTGCGCGCGCGCACACCGAGTCATTCAGTCGAAACGCATCGTTCTGAAATTACGGCGCTCATTTGATTATTAAGGTAAAAACATGTTCCGCCGGCCATGCGTTTGGGGCTGAGTAATCGTACATGTGTATATCGACTTGACATCCTAAAGCAAAAAGTCGTTTTTTTCTTTTTTTCTGGAAGGGATGCTTGCGGGACACTGTGAGTTACAAAGCCTGAGTGATGTGTTTTTTTTTTTGTATTAAGGGTTAAAGGCGTGGAAAATATTTCGAGAGAAATAAATGATTTTTAACGACTGCATTGGCCGTCTTACGTCTTCTTGTACGAGGATAAAAGCTGTGTTTGTTTAATCGCTGCTCTCATCCTGCAGTCGATAAGTGTAGTATCATTCAAGGCGCCATCTTTCGGGATGTCAGTGAAACATTTCAATTTTGATAAGCGCTTTGGGGCGTCTCTCACAGATGGCGACACTTGTATCGTATCGCGTTATGCTCAATATTTATTCATGGTATAGTAACGATATCAACTTTCGAAATCAGTTGAAATCAATGTGTCAGTGTAAGTTGTTGGAAGGTACCGGAGAAATGGATAAAATGTAAGGAGTGTATTTTCGAATTGACTCGTGCAGCTCACCACTAGGATTTTACATTTTACTACGTTCAGAAAATGAATCGTTTGTACGGTAAGAGTAACTGTTCAACCTTTAAATCTAAATAATTGTACAATGTAACCTACGTATGCGTTGGAAACTCAGTTCATGACAAAAAGAATAAGAGTGCATCATGTGCGTCACTCTGCAATTTTCACTTTTCTGCATGCTTTTAACATTTTAATATGTTTTTCTCTTTTAAGAATAAATATAATGTCAAGCTAGTTTCAAGCAAGTGACAATAAGGAAGCTCAACATGTCCAAGAAAGCAAATGAATCCTACCAAGCTATGTCAGTATTATTTTAAAAAATTCGTTCTTTATGATCCGTTGAATTATAAATTTATGCATTTCATATTGATGTTTCACTTCCTTCTTTTTTAAGGCGCACGAGTATCGACGAAGCACCAAAATTACATGTTTGTAACCGTCCAATACCTAAGCTTCTTTTAAAGGCTTTAAAAGACTCTACGACAAGTGATACAAACAAAGCTGCAATGCAACCGTATGTCGTTCTTTTGCAAAAATTACAAAAGGTACATGAACTAGACAATGATGGTTATCTACATTGGTTGACATTATTGTTATATATGGAGGAGTATGAAAATCAGGAACAAATGCGCACTTATGATACGTACAAACAAAAAATTGTTTATAAGGGTTCTAATATGTTTCGTATTGAAGTACCTGACCTTGCTGATGATAAACCCCGTGTTACTATAAATGACAAAATTAAGTTGATTCATTCTCAAAATAGGAAGGCCTGCTATGGTATTGTTGTAAGCAAGGGTCAGAAACATGTGGATGTGAAAATTAAGCAGAAGTGGTGAGAAGAAATTAATAAATATATATTGCTTTGCATATCAAAGAAAGATGTGAACATGTTTGACAATGTCAGAATTATCTGTTTAGGTTCTTAAAGAGATTTAATGGAGAAGACCTGTATGACATTAGATTTTGTTTTCATAACTATTCTTTGCAATGTGGACATTATGCAATTCAATTAATCAATGAATATCAGTTGACACCGCTGTTGTTTCCTGAAAACAAACTAAACTACAACAAACCTAAAAAGTGAGTCACTAGTTTAATTTCTTGCACTAAAGTCTGACGTATGCGCATATCGCATACTTTGTTTAAATATTATTAGAGTGACAATGAAATGAATTATCAAGTGACGTGTATTGCATTATTACAAGAAATCTTCGATGGTTCAATCCTGACATAGAGCAGAATGATCAGCAAAAACAAGCCATTCTAAATATTATGGGTCGAACGGCACATCCTGCGCCATACATCCTGTTTGGTCCTCCTGGCACTGGAAAAACGGCGACCCTAGTGGAAACAGTCTGTCAGGTACTCATCTCGTATTTCATGAAGCAAATATGTTCTATAATGCGATAGACCACATAACCGATTGCAATTCAATATAGATTTGGGATAACATGGCATCCAGTCATATTTTAATTTGTACACCATCCAATACAGCTGCAGATGAAATAACGAAAAGGCTGGTGAAATTTGTTCCTCCTCACGAGATATATCGTATGAATTCACCTACCAGACAGTCGTACGAATTCCTTCCTTTTTTTTTTTTTTTTATAATTAGAGTACCTAATTCAATATATTGCCAAGGTTTATTGATTTTGTAATCCAGGATAGACATAGACCACAGCATATGCGATTGTACAAACTTTGTCGAAGGAGAAACAGTCTTCTTACCAAAAGACATGATAATGCTCAAGAAGATTGTTATCGTCACATTGATATCCTGCATACGGTATGTTTGAATGAAACTTTAAAAACCAATCGAACTATACGTGACAAATCCTATTTTTCCTTTTGTTCCTCGAACTTGAAAGTTGAAACTACCTTCCTGCTGCTGCAGACTGCTATCGCTGAAACTCTGGGAGAGTCATTTTGCGTACGTGTTCATCGACGAAGCAGGTCAGGCAACAGAAGTGGAGAGTCTAATTCCTCTGTGCTTAATGAGCAGCAAGGACGACGGCCACATAGGAAAATTACAGGGTCAACTGATTATGTCAGGTGATCCGCAGCAGCTGGGGCCCGTTATAGTGTCGAACAGAGCCCGACCACTTCTTGGTAACTGTCTATAAATCTTTAGGCACTCCTTATAATACATATTTATTCTAAATTACTTAATTAATTTTAAGCTTTCAATGATAAACCTCCTTAGGACAGTCAATGCTCGAACGCCTGATGAAACGACCACTTTATCGGAAGAACAAGGATGGCAGTTATGATTCGCGTTACATCACAAAACTGTTAAAAAATTATAGGAGTCACGATAGCATTCTGCAAATTCCTAACAAGCTCTTCTACGAGGACGAACTGTTGACTTGTGCTGGCGACGCCACGAATCAGGGCATTGGTTGGCGATATTTGCCAAATAAAAAGTTTCCGATTATCTTCCACGCTGTTTGCGGAGAGGAAAAGAGTAAACAAAAATGTACCAGGTGAGCAAAAAGACACCAATCGTGCTATGCCTCTCAAAATTTGTTCATGAAATTAAACCTTTTTTTGTTTCTTCTTTTTTCCCAGCATTTGCAATATGGAGGAAGTGAAGATTGTCGTGCAGTACGTCGAAAAATTGTTGAAATCCATGCCGGGGACAACCAAGTTTGAGAATAAGGTGTTCACAGAAAAAGATATTGCTGTTATTACACCATACAAATTACAGGAGAAAAAAATCGAGCAAGCTCTACATAAGATATGCATAAATAAAATTGCCGTGGGCACAGTCGAGATGTTCCAGGGGCAGGAAAGAAATGTAATTATTTTGTCAACAGTACGATCGGTCAGTTGGGAAAAAATACATGCAAGTAATATTGGATTTCTAACCAATCCAAAGGTAAGAGATGCAAGTAAAAATTAAATTTGTTAAAATCATATCTCAAATATTGCAATGCTGTTGTATCTTTCAGAGATTCAACGTTGCTCTTACAAGGGCACAGGCTCTTCTCATCGTAGTCGGAAACCCGTATCTTCTCGGAAAAGACGATAACTGGCAGTCTTTCATTGGCTATTGTCGAGATAATGGAGGCTATCTGACTAGCAAGTCCGCGCGTGATCAAAATAATTGTAAAATTCATCAATTGAGTACACAATATGAAAGAAGGAAAAGAAGCAGGAAACCAACATATTTTCCAGTAGACAAAAAGTGTGCTGATAATGTGAAAATTGCCAAAAATTTTGATAAGGAAGCATCAAACAGTCATAGTTCCGCGAGGTATGAGGAGAATGAGAATTTTTCAATGTTGCTATTACAAAGCCAATTGAATGGGAATATGAACGGATCGCCGAAAATATTCGGCACTGAGAGCAATTTGAACGAGACAACGGTACACTCACTAAGTAACGGAGAATCATTGGAGGCTCAGATTATCAACAAGATGCATCATCTAGCATTGGCAGATTAGAGAGACGCACATATATAGTTATCGGCTGCTATAAATATAACCAACCAATGCCAAAGGAGCTCAAACGTGGGCATTTCACGTAGAATCAATGTGCCTTAAGTTTTAATTTTTTTCTTTATTTAATATTTTCTTCCTTCTGACTTTAAAAAAAATAGATTATACACCTATAGTGACGGAGTAATGCACCATTAGGACAACCATTATTCATTGATATGGGCGCTCTCTGATAAAATAATGTTACCAATTTTCGAGATATGTTGAAGTATATTACATAGTATAAAGTTTGATTAAACTTGGACCAATGGGTTATCATCGGCAACTAACCCTTTCGCTACGGGCGGGTTCTCCGCCGTGGTACCTCGAGACTGTTTGTCGAGGCATATGGATTGCTACGCATTGAGTTATTTCGGCTGTTAGAAACAAATGATGCAAAGTAAAATACTATCAATGCATGTCCAGAGTGAGATACTTTTGCAGAACGGCTAGTCGCAATATCTCAGTAGCGTCTTATGGAGGGCCACTATAGTGACCCGTAGTACCTCAGTGACACTATGGCGAGCTACTATAGTGGCTTATAGTAGTGCAAGGGCTAAATAGAACCGACATCTAATTTTTTTTTATGACACAAGCAATTTACAAATTGTTACTGCTTAAATTATCTTGTTTTCTTTGCAACAGGTTACTGCAATACCTTTTTAATTGTGACACATAAGAATACTAATTTCTAGAGTTATATAACTTTTAGAAGCTTTATGAAATGACTGGATCATCGAATTGTAAAATAAAATGTTTTATATTATGTCAGGTCCGTAAATCCTCCCATTTTCCACTGTAAAGCTATTGATTCTCTTTCAATTTGGTTATGACAAATGTAAATTGTGACTTTCGTTTATATATTATTAACGAATTGAAATCGAAAGTAGAACAGAGGAGTGGATGGAGTATCCCAGTATCCCATAAGTAGATCGGAGGGGAGAACTATATCGAATAATGGTAACTATGTATTTTGTAAATTGAGTGTCGTTTAACCTATCGCATCTTATTATATCACAGACCCAGACATAGTTGCACGCAATGACAATCGAGATTGAAAATCGACCGACCAGTTCCTTCGCGGTGAAAATTGATGTAAGTTGTTTATCTCTTATTTGAGAATTTGAGGTTATGCTGGTCGTTCGTCGGTATCTGTCGGCGCATCAGAGTAACACCAGAGAAAACTAAAGAAGTAACAGCGAGAAGGCCAATATGAGCTTAGACAGTGAGTGCGACAAAGTGAAGAAAATAATGAGAAACGAAGTAGCGTGCAATGGAAGCGAAGGTGTCGAAAAGAATGAAGAGGATGCAGAAGGATCGATCATGCTGAACTCGGAAGATATCGATGAGAAACAACAGAATACGATGAAGGGTGACACCGTGGGAGATACGGTTTACAGTGGAAAATGGATAATCACCACTCTTATATCTTTATCCAAGGTGAGACTAACTAACTATCTAACTAATCGAAACTCGTTGAAACTCGAGTAATTTTTCTGCGGGTTTTTTAACTTTCAGGTTTACGAAAATGGATGGAACGACGATCTCGAGAGCGATCTCTGTATGTTATGGGATATGACAGCCGATAAAGATATTGTATCATTTCTCATGGAAAATGAATTTCTTAAAATGGCCGAGTTTACACTGAAAGTCTCAAACGAGCCACGTCTGACGGTTGTGTATGATGTACCTTACGAGAACGGATTGCGTTACAATCGCATTAGTCATTAATGGGTCTCGTTTCATTTTTAGGAAATAATTCTTGGTATTATTGGTAATATGTGCTGCCAGAGCGAGGTTCTAGATGCAGTAGCAAATAGAACGGATTTGGCCAAAGCAATATTGGATCTCGTAGCGAGCGACGATCCCGAGACGCTGATACAATTACTGAGACTGCTGCGTACGGCCGTCTGGGATATTTTGAAAAATCGCGAGTCCGCCTGGTCTGAATGCCTACGAGCATCTGAAATCTTAGGACACGCAATAGTCTTCATCATGGAAAGCTCGACAAACGGTAAGCATTAAAAAGTGAGGAATAATCAGTGCCGATGGTTTTACTGTTTGTTGAACGTATCAGACGTGTAAGCCGTATCGGCAAACTTTTTACAGACGATTTATTGACTGCTGCCATGGATTTTCTGCAGTCGATCTCTGCTTTAGGCAGCTTATTCGGCAAACTCTTTGACATCGCTCGACTCCTCCCTGCACTTCTCGAGTCGTTTACGCAGCTCATTCGAAGAGACGAAGATGTGCGGCCCTACACGCAGACGGAGCTTAAAATCATAGAAAATTGGCTTACCATAATCTCGAATGTCGCGCAGATGGATCCGTTTAAATGTCAGAATGTTCACGAGAACGAACAATTTCGAATGATATTGAATGTCCTCGTGAGAATATTGCAGCCCTATATTCATTCGTATAACTTAATCCCAATCGAGGAGCGCTCGGCGCTCTGCATCCACCAGTGCGTCGACCTGATCTCGTCGTTTCAACGCAATCAGATGTACGCGACGCCTGAAATTATTTACGTCATCGTAACGATACTATCTCATCTTGGATCAGGTTTGCTGCTCGTTTGCCTCTTCTCTTATTGTTTTTCTTGTCCTGACCTAATCAATACGAATACTTTTCGCAGCAATGAAAGTGGACATCGACGATGATATTGACGACATCGAGGCTGACCCAGATAATATTGCGAATGAACTTTACCAGTATTTACTGAGATTTTGGATAGAAACCTTGAGAATTTACGAGAGCGATCGTGTCGCTGAGATTCTTCAACTATGCGAGAATACTGTTATAAAGCAACTAATCAAAATCTCTGAGTCCCACGTTAAAACTTGTCACGATGCCATGGAGAAGCTCATGCAGACGAAGTCGTTGCTTCGCTAAACCTTAATTTCAATTCGTTTTTCTATGTTCTACTAGTGCGAGTACGATTTTTGTGTACAATAAAGTATTTCACTTGTAAATAGATATAATCTCGTCAGGGCACAAAGGTGATGGATTAATTTAGTTTCGAGGCGCTTATGAATTATCTTATGAATTGCGCGTCGAGGAAGATCATAGTGCTGTGCACTGTAAAACTGTTAAGAGACACGAGAGGAGGACGAAGTGCCGAAGTGGGCACACTTGAATAGAGGAAACTCGTCGCGTGGAATATGAATCAGAAGTTCCACTGAGAGTTTATTAGAGTGTTGCCACCGATTAGCAATATCGGCATGAAATAACGAACGAAAGAAATGCTAAAGTTGGGCCACGTTCTCATTATTTAAATTAGAATTCAAACTAAAATATGTAATATTTTGACATCACAGGGTTGGTACGTTGTTCAACTTCGATTGGCTAATCTGAATCCTCGCTAAGCAATTGTTTATAAGAACGGAAATTATAAAATTGTTTCTACTCTTGCTGTCGACAGCTGCTGCATGTTGCTATCTCGTTATTTAACGGTATCATACACTAATCGTCGCGTTCAGCTGCCTTGCTTCATTGTGCCGTCCATATTTCAGATTCAGATAGAGAATAAAGAAGTAATAACGGACGGCCATTAAGTTCTATGATCATGCCTGACGAACTCGCAGTTAAAAAGGTTTGTACCGCGTAAAGGGTTTAATGTGTTATATGTTTTTATCAATCGAGGAGGTTCCTATCATGTTGCATATATCTTTATTTTTGCAGCTCCCTGCTTTAAGAGCCCCTCACGTGCATATGAAAAATATTGATCAAGTTGCACGAATAATAAATAAGATCATTCAGGATGGCAGTGAGAAATTACAAGTAAGTATTAATTTCTCTGACATTATACCAAGGATCAAGAGGTATGTAATTCCGTTGCATGGTGGCTATTAGAAGTTTACCTTAACCTTTAGACTACCGGCAAAGACCCTTTTGGGACTTGAAACAAACTTGAAAATCCTAAGCAACATGTATGTTTTATATATGTATGCATTTTTGGTCAAAAGAGCCACTATTTTCATGAAAAAATACTGGAAGTACTAAGGTTAAAAATCAGTCCTACAAATACCATTTTCTGTACTTAGATATATTGTTGCTTATGTATGTAGGTAAACCTGAATTACTCGATTAATCTTTGTACCAAGGAGATACTACTGAAAAGAGCCAGCATTATGGGACTTTGCATCTGACAGCTAGTGGGTACAGAAAGATTTGAAATGCCATACGGTTTGTTTCAGGGGCTGGCTCTTTTTACAAATATCTTCTTGGTAGCTATTGTCGTCTTTATAATCTAGGCTATGTAAATTATATGATATAATTCTCTGCAGATTGTAACAGACTTTGACCTTACATTGACAAAGCAACATGTTAATGGAAAACAAGTCTTATCCAGTTTTGGTATGTACATATTTCTTTTATCATATTTAATATTAGTTTAAATAATTCTTTATTTACATAGGTATATTTGGAAAGTGCAAGCAATTATCATCTACTTTCACTGAAGAAAGCAGAAGACTTTATCATAAATACAGGCCAATTGAGATTGATCCAAATATACCTCTTGAGAGTAAAGTGAAAGCCATGGAGGAATGGACAGCATTGGCACGAGATATGCTATCAGGTTTTGAATTTGATGCCAAAGAATTAGACGAGGTAGCAGAAAAATACGGAACTGCATTGAGAGATGGAACGAAACATCTCTTTGAGCGATTAAATATTGTAAATGTACCAATATTAGTCTTTAGTGCTGGCTTGGGTGATGTAGTTCAAGCTGTACTACGGCATAATAGAGTACTCTGGGACAATGTAAAAATAGTGTCGAATTTTCTAAAGTATAAAGATGGAAAGTTAGATGGTTTTGTATCAGACCGAGTGATACATGTGTTTAATAAAAATGAACACACAGTCGAAGAGGATTATTTTAATATATTAAAAGGAAGGTGTAACGTTGTTGTCATGGGCGATTCGATTGGTGACGCTGCTATGGCTGATGGCGTAAAAGATATAGAAAATATCTTGAAAATTGGATTTCTCTACGACCACGTAAGCGCAGCTTTATCATATAAAGAACAAGTAATTACTTGTTTTATTTAAGCAGTTCGATGCTGACATTATCTTTTTTGATGTTTCAGGCAGAGGAACATTTACCAACTTACATGGACTTATTCGATATAGTACTGGTAGATGATCAAACGATGAATGTACCATTTGAAATTTTGAAACCAATTTTATAAGAATAATTGAGTCAGCAAGATCTAAGTAGGGATGACGGTCCTTTGTTTGGACACTGCCCTGATATGCTTACTCTTCGACTTTGTCCAATCCCCTAAGTTAACATTACTCTCCAGTAATGCTTTTTTACGCGTTGCTGTTGCCACAGTTATTTATCATAACAACTTGACGTTACCATTATTAATGTAATTGATGATAAATTATAATTTTTCACAAAAAACCTTTTTTATGAAATAAAAGTAAGCTAGCGAGAGGGTTTTCTATTTTTTTTTGTTCGTAATAACTGTATCTAAAGTTAAGCTTTCATACCGGCCGTACGAACATTAACATTGACTGAAGAGGTAAATAGACTGGACATCTTATGGGATATGGTGTCACGCGAGTCTACGTATCGTAGATCACCTCCAATGGACCTTACCCATTGAAATGCCATATGTAGATATACATATATTCTAAATAGAATCACGAGAAACAGAATATACGCAAGGTATGACTAGCCCTATTTGTATTCAGTGAAAGGTATTACTATTTACATGTGGTGGGTGCCATTGCGCGAACTAAGCAGCAACGTCTTTGTCGAGGTGCAAACTTAAGTAAGAAGAGCATAGTGAAGTTTTAGCGGGATAAGAAAGAGAGAGAGAGAGAGAGAGAGAGAGAGAGAATTCAATTTATTTGATCAGGGCTTAAATCCCGTAGACCATAACATCATACAGTAACATTTTATTAGAGAGAAGTAATAGGTAGAAAGAGAGAGAAAAAAATGAAAGAGAGAGGAGAGTAGAAAACACTGTCACGTGAAGAGTGCGATGGGTTTCAACGGCTTGTTTGGATTCACGCGTTGTAAACAGACGGGCAGTCCGTGAAAGTCCGCAAGTCGATAACTATCGTTCAAACTAGAGACAAGGTTATCCCTATTCAGTTAAATACTCCAAAGAAGTATTCATAGATATTCAGGCAGTTGAAACGTTTAGTACTGTTTGCGTGGTATTATACCTGTCGTCGTGTTCGTCACATTTGTCGCGTTACACCAACGTAATAAACTAAAGGATGCTAAATCTTCTGTCTCTTCAGTCGTCTTTCGTGAGTTGTGTGAATCTACCGAGTGATTGCGTTTGACCTGTTTGCCCCATTAAATCATTGGGATGAATGAGGCTTTTGAAGATCAGGCGGATGGTACGTATTTCCAGGAATACTAAAGGTACTGATTCTTTCAAACGTTTTGCCACTTCATTAAAGTAATTAGCTTGAGTCGGATAGTCGCTCGGTAAGATTATAAGTGCCTATGAACGCGTCCGTGATTGGTGGAGCACGCGTGATAGATCAACTAATTAATCGATATCCTTTTCTGCAGTTTTGTTGCAAAAAATTTGTGCCGCTTGTGAGAATTTCGTTTCGGAATCGTCCGATTGTTTGTGCCCTTCCTCCTCGTCCTCGGGCAACTCCTCGTCGGCGCTCTCGAGTATTAGGGAAACGGTCACACGTCTTATTGAACGTTTACGAGAATCCTGGACCCACGGGTGAGTCGTGAGTTTTGAACAATATCTTTGGAAATGCAAACAGAAGAAAACAGGATACCAATAAATAGCTGGCACGACAGAATACGTTTTTCCTTTTTTGGTTATTCCGACACGATAGAGATGAACTTTTGGAAGAGTTACGAAAATTCCTAGAGGAAGTTTCCTACGACGGTCGGGTGTGCCTTCCACAATTTGAAGAAGCGTTTCGAGTATGGGTCGCCAAGATATCATCTCGTGTCAATCTTCAAGATGGGAACAACAATGTCGAGATCAACGGGTGAGTTACCGATTACAGCTTCGTAGAGTTAAGTTGATGTTCTCGTTGCTATGCTGGTACTTACATGCATCTAGTTTTGCATCGCAATTAATGTCAATTGATTCCCGCAAAGTCTATTCCATAGCTCACAATAAAAAGTCATTGTATGCGTTCCTCGTCTCACTCGTGAGAACTTTCTCGATAATAGAATTGAATAGATAATCTGGTATCGGGTGATCCAGCAATTTTCCCAGGACACGTACCTAGAACTTGTCTATAATCGGGTGCACGTAATGCATGTGGCAGTTTTTCTTGATTATGTAAACCGGTATCTTTGAACAGATATGCGCGGTAAGGCCAGCTTATCGTTCCTTGGGTTCGCTCATTCAGGTTCTTATAGTAGGTATTACCAAAGTTCGTACGTCGGTTTCAAAGACGCATTCTTTCCTTAGTTTCGGAATGAAGCCCTATTGCAAAAATTCCAACCTCCTCTGATTCTGAGCCTTGAAATTGGCAAACGATCCGCATGACACGCAGGAGACGAATGTTATTTGTATTGCTTCGGCTTATTCTTTCCTCAGATCGGAAGGCCGATGCTGCAGGGACATCGGTTCGAGGAGGCACCAGGAAGGTATTGTAGTTATGAATCGTTATGCAGCAGTGTGGTACGAAGATGCTCTATCCTGCGGAAGTACCGATGCAAGCATTAGACATAATGTGGCGGGTAACCTCAAGGACAGTGACGATACAGAGCAGGAGAGTTTTCAGGATTCTTCGAGTGAAACATCGGTGGATATTGGTAAGTCCTCAGTTTGACCTAATTGGTCTAATAATTTTTATCGTTGGGACTCTAATGTCTATTTACAGGTAAAAAGTCCAGTCTCGCCGCTGCTGCTATTCCGCCAATTGGGTATGTAGAGAAATCATTATGACCTCTGAGTGTTCGAGCGCAACTCTAGCGTAAGCAGTTTAAGCAACTGACCATTATGACTTTGCTGAAGGAAATACGAGTTTATCGAGGGTGGAGATACAAATTCAATGGAATTGGAACGTAGTGAGTTCAAATACCGGCAGCGTGTGCGCAAATACGAGGAAGAGAATAGCGCGCTTCGGGAGGAATTGGCGAGAGTCGAGGAATCTGGCGAAGCTTTGCGGAATCGCATCGCTTTGCTCAGCCGGCAACTGTACGTAACTGAGAGAAGAATTTCTTATCTTTTGCGTAGCGTATAGTGATTTTGGGCTCGAGTGAACCTATGATAATGATCTTGAATCTTGAAATTTGGCGAATTAAGGGAGCGCGCTGAGCAGAGGTGCAAGCAACTCGAGAAGGAGAACGACGATCAACGCGAAATCCTGGAGGCGAACGAGAGACGAGAGAGAGAATATAAAATCGAAATTCAGAGAATTGAGAAGGAACGCGCAGCGATTGCTGAGTCACTAGAGAAGGCGGAAACGGATGTGAGCTGCACATTATGGAATCTTGGATGTAATAAATATATGACTCGAGCTCTTTTCAGAGGCAGAGCATACCGACTGTGCTTGCCAAACTCGAAAGGATCACCGGAGAGAAGTCCGAATATTCTCGAAGACTGAGGAAAAGTCAAGACAAACTCAGGGAGAAGGAGATGGAATGCGAAGTGCTGCAGGAAAAGATTGCCCAGCTCGAAAAGTATGACTTCAATTTACAGGAATCGTACGAGACTACAGTGCGCGTAAGATTAAATTCCAAGTGATCCTCTTTTCCATTGTGTCGCGGCAATCTGTCACTTAACTGGGTTAGAGTAACTATAACTAATTTCGAACTTTTGTGCACAGCATCTTCGTCGTGAGACTCGAGAGTTGCAGGGACAAATCGCCGAATTGCAGATGGAACGGTTAAACGACTGTCAGTGCGACGGGGTAAGACCAATAATTCATTAATTTGTCCTTTCCTTTCTCCTCCGTTCTTCTACGTTTCTTTATTTCCTTTGGTGCTTTCGCCGCTCCAGTTTTCCTTGACTCCGCCGATGGGAAACGTGAGTGCATTCGTACACGCAACACCTCGCACAGTTCCGAGGATCGAGCCCGAAAGTTCCTTGTGTGCCGAATTGCAAGCTTCCGTAAGTGAGTTGACAGCCACGTTCAGAATTTTTCTTTGAGCAATGAGTTTTTGCAGGGTTTTTTTTGCGAGCCTCGCAGAAACGATTCAAAATGCCAAGAACTGGAGGAAGAGTTGAATTATTATAAGAACGAGATTCGTCAAACGCTGGAACTCTTTGACAAGTGCGTATTAATGTTACTTATTATCGCCACTAATGAAAAATCTTCTCGTCGTGCAGATAAATCGACATTATCTTCTTTTATTTTGACTTCTCCATGTAGGTTGATGCTCGAGCTAAATTGTCCTGCTTTGAAGGGAGACTCACCAAAGGTGATTGAATCCGAGACGCCGGATATTCAGATGCTTGGACAGAAAGCTTCGCTATTGTTGGAAATGGTAAAGTCAGGTTATCTTTCTCTAATCGTCGTTGGACTTTGCCTCTAAAGGGTGCAATATTGCGCAACGCGTTACCTTGGCACGTGGATTCTGTTTATGCGATATGCTGCCAGATGCCCGCTTAAGATTAATGCGCATTTTCATGACAAGAGTCACGTTGAGAGTAGGTATTCCGAATAATATTCTACGCTACAGATAACTTTGTACGTTTTTCAGGCAACGCAGCTCCTTCGAAATCAGCGTGAACTCAAGGACGCAAGTGTAGAGGTCCGACTCGAATCATCGATGGGCCAGCGACTTGATGAATTCAATATTCCAACATTTAAGGACCGACTGCAATGCATACGGTGTGTATATCGCTTTTTCTACTTTCAAGAGTTAGTGAGTAACCCTTAAAAATAATGGGGATCAAGGTCGTTGATGCGCTTCGAAAATTTAGGGTTCGGACGTAAAAATAGATTGACGGGTTTGAACGGCGCGCGTCTGTACGTGGCACGGCCGTACTAATAAAGGCATATAAAAATAACCTATACGACGACCTTCTGAACTCTCAGGTATTCTGCCATTTTACGACTTAACATTTTTTTTTACAAATCGCTACGACACGTGATCTTTGCAATGACTTAGTCTTTTATTTTTCATTCAAATGAAGGAGCCTTTTTATTTCCTCCGTGAAATTCATCGGGTTCGCGAAAAGCTAATCATTTTTCTGTAGGCCAAGCCTTGGGCGATCTCCTCGATCTCCTTAATCTGGGTTAGCTCCAGTTCAATGTGAACCAGATGCACGCACAGTGAGACGGAGATAGAGAGAGAGAGAGAGAGAGAGAGAGAGAGAGAGAGAGAGAGAATGAGAGTTGCGTGAATCAGTGGTCGTGGTTATGGACGATCCTCCTTGCCATGGTGCCCTCATTTCTTCCTGTTCCTTTTTCCTCCTTGTCCCTCCTCCTTTTCCGTCTCTCTTTTGAGAATCCCTCTGTACGACGACTTTGCAGGTTTTCACGGAAAAAGAGTAAAGCGAGAACGATCGAGAGTGTCTCAATGAGACTTTCTTTTCTCAATACAGTTTAAAGACCTTGCTCCATTTAAGTTAACATCACGTGTTGTATCCGTTAGTTGAACATCGTTTATTTTGTATTAATTATTAGAAGTTTTTCTTTAAACCGGTCGCGCGTACCCGTTTTTTTTGTCTGACAAAACCCGAATAACCGCGAGTGCCTGCATCAGGTCCATAGATGTGAAATGCAACGATTCCTCTTTCGAAGGAGGAGATTGGTCGAGCGTCGTGCAGTAAGACCAGTACGTCCGCATCGTGTGCTGGTCCGCCGGTCTGCCAGTCTGCCAGTCTGCTGGCAGCTGTCGAGCGCGCGTTACTTCGCGTCTGTGAACTTCAGTCTTGATTAATTTACCAGATCAGAATTCCCTTCCAAGTCGCGAATCACACCCGATATAGAAATACATTGTCTTTGGGAATCTTCTTGAGGTACGAACGGTTTCTCCAGGCCCTGCTATTTCTTCAGAGCTGACGACACTCTTGTCCGATCAATCATAAGTGGTGGCATAAAGTACATGTAACACGTAAAATACAATAGAAGGCATCGGTGCCAGATTGCGCATCGCATCTGTGCAAGTTACGCTCCTTACTAGCCGGGTTACAACACTCACGTAGGGTTAAGTAGTGTCACACCTGCCGGGATCAAATCATCTTTATCATTTACTTTGTTACTTCTTTATTTTTACATTCGCGTCTCAATTCTGATTTCGTCTCCTTTCGATTTTAGATAGCATTGCATCAGCGCATATACATATACTTGACAGTTCCCCTCAGGGAGATTTGTCACGGTGTTTATTTTTTTACTGTTTTCCATTTAGACGTATTATTGTGGAACGTATTATTTTAGAACGGTGTACGTTGTTTGTTTAGTCAGCATCGGTCCATCTTTCCTTTACTAGCACGTTACTTTACTGCCCCAGCCTCCTCCCTTATTTTCAGGGTCATTGTACGTTAACGCGTTAACAGGCTGATTGCGCAAGAATCTTGTTAGTCGACTGAAATTGTAGGTCTTCCAGTGAATATCGTGAAATTCCGCTCTCTAATTACATCGGTGCGTTTTCACAGCTTGTTTTTACTTTGTCGGGAAATATTCCTCCGTACGCGGGATAACGTGAAAACATTGATCGATTCGTATGAGGATTTTTATTTTTTCACATTATTACTTTTCTCAGCTCTCAGCAAGAAGAAGGACAAGTAAGAAAGTACCAAGGGGACTCGCTACCGTCGCGACCGTCTACCCTCAAGGAGAAACTGGTGGGCGAGACCATCTTAAGGCACAATTCTCCTACCGCGAACGTCTTTTGTGCATCAGAGGCCATTCAGGCTTCTGCTAACACCGTCGATACGATTATTGGCCCAATCGTCGCTGCCATTGACGAGATCATCCAAGGGAGTCCTAGTGCCAGCAGCGAGGTGGATTCTCCGAGAGGAGGAGAACGCGCGAGCGTCCTCGATTCAAGGTGATATCAAACGTGTGTCTTTTGCTCTGCTTCTCACTGGCTTTTATTCCGTTGCGCCAAGCAACGTCAGATTCCAAGAAAGGGAGAATATTAAGGCAATTAGACCAGCCGACCAAGATAAACATTTGACTCGAATTTTGCACACGGTAGACACAGATGCAGCAGATACGCATACACCCTGCCACCCTCGAAGAAGCGCAGTCTGAGGGACACGAATCTCTCGAGGGCCGATACATCTCCGACGTTCCCTTTGGAACGTCCCGACGTCATCGAGACGCTCGTCTCCTCGAGAGGGGACGGCTGCCCGACAAAGAGAGACCAACTGCGGCGGGGCGTCACGGAGAGTATTACAGCGGGAAGACATAGCATTTCTACGGGGAATTTCGAGCCCGAGGAACTTGATCCGAGTCTGCAGAATCTCGGGATCAAAACGGAATCATCGAAATCATCGAAATCATCGAAATCATCGAACTCCTCCGGAGACGAAGACGAGGAAGCGGAATTTACTAGTCCGCGTGCTGGTAATCCTCCCGCGGCGAAGAGAAAGATATCCGTCTTTCATCGTTCCTTCGAATTGGACGCATTTAAGAATAAAGTACTCGCAAAAACAATGAGCTCTAAAAGCACGACGGCTGTTAATTCGTCACTTGAACGTCTGAATATGCTTACCGGAAATCACCAGATTCAGAGTCATCGACTGAAAATTGCGGAGACCGAATCCACCAGCTCTCCGTCTACTTTCGAGCACGATACCAGTAGCCCAGAAGAGGAGAGTGCCCGCTTCGCGACAGAGTCCGATCGGCAGCAGGGACCAGGATTTGTTTCATCTCCAACAAAGATTTGTATATCCCCGTTCTACGAAAGGGAAATGAGCCTGGAGAAGGAAGGCGAGTCGGAGAATTTGCTGGAATCGATTGACTCGAAAAACGCTCTACGGCTGCCGCATCTTTCCTCTAAGGAGCAAAATTCTGAGCATTCCCTCGACAAAAGTACGTTCTCAGATGTAACTAGAATTTTTAAAGGATATCTTTTATTCGTTAAAGTTTCATTTCATTCGAAGGCTTTTTCCTTTGGTTCTCAGTATCGTCTTCAGAAGTGAGGAGCGACGAGAAAGATTTTCCGCGAATTCTTCAGAAGAAGAAGAAGGAAAACGAGGGCGACCGCAACGAGAAGAGGAACAGCGGCGGCGGCGGCGGCGGCGGCGGGCGCAAGATCGAAAGCGAAGAAGCGAGCGCAGGTCCGGCAGTAGCGTTCGCGATGTTCAGCGGAGAGGATAGTTCCGACAGTGAATCAGATTCAATCGTTGTGAGTGAGAAACGACGTGTGCACGAGCAAGCTGCGGAGTCATCTCGATTCACAGAAACCGTCGAAGAAGCTAAACTCGCATCCTCGACCCCCATCAGCAATGTCACTGGGTTCCCCACCTTCGGGAAGATCGTCTCGCCGATGTCGCCGACGTCGCCGACGTCGCCGACTCTCGAGAAAACCGAGAGTGGGAAGAAGGAGTCGACAGGTCTGAAGCGGGAGGTAAGTCTATTATATATTACTTCATTTTCTTTTTTTTTTTTGAAAAATATAGCGCGCTCGTTCAAAAGTTTTTTATATCTCGAAAGCACGTACTCATAATTCCGAATGAGCGTAGAGTTCGGAATTATGAGTTTATTATGAAGATGTTGCGTTGCTCTCTGAAATTAATAATATTTTTTCCTGTTTCGATATAACTCTTGCTATTCACGGTGGGAGAACTTAGAGATTGTTAATCTCTTAGTCTTGGGCCACAAAGGATTCTTCGCCAGAGTCGGCGGAATATACTTGTAAATACTCTTAACACTAAACCACACCGACAATTTTTTATAAACGTATTTTTGGTTTAAAAACAGTCAAATGACCAGTCGATGGTACGTTTAGTGTTAAAGAATCATTTATTTATTTAAATTCTGAGGAAACATAGAAGACTGGAGTTATGTAGAAAAGTTACATAGGAAATCTGAAATTATCGGTACCATCTCGAGAGTACACTCTCGAGAAAGCTCGAGAATGCTCACAGTTGGAGATGGTTGAGTTGCGCCTCGATCGCTTAGCAATTGACTCTAATCGACAACCGTACGATGAAAGCGTCGCCGCTTGCGGATATTCATATACATATGCGTCTCTTCCTACGCGTCGCCGATTGATCTGTTGGCGTGTTCCGTGAGACTAGACGCGTGGATGCGCTTAATACGCAATGTAAAAGTTTAAGTAAATTAAACTGATTGGGTAACGTCGACGACAGTGGAGGAAGCCAAGCTTGGAATCTAGTTGATTCACCGCGCGCTTGACGGAGACTCCCGATACATGTTTGTAAGTCAGGGCTCTGCGCCGATTCTACTTATACTAGTTTACTACTTTATTACTGCCTTGCATTATGGCATTTAATGTGAGAAAAATGAAGGTCATATAGTCGCGATTGTGCTATCTTAATCTCACTGGCTCGACTTCTCTCCTCCTCTCATAATCAGTCAACTCTCTCGCGCAATTCGGCTTATCGTTCTTCACTCGTTACGTTAATCAACGACAGCCAGCAATACTCCAAGCATGCTCGGCGTACTAGCCATACCAGCCATACCAATGCAACTTGTCGGGCAACTTGTTGTTCCATTTCTTGAGATGCTCCTTAGTTCAGTGACAAATTGAAAGGAATAAGAGGCCTGCGAACCAATTGACGACGATGCGCCGATGCGCCGATGCGCCGATGCGCCGATGCGCCTTTACCAGGAAGAGCCAAGTCTGCTCCTTGTTGCTCAATCTTCGTGGACGCGTTGCGCTTACGATCGTCCGATTGAGTGGAAAATGCGGCTTCAATTCAATACTTGAATTTATTTTCTTTTGCAGCGCCTCTCGGGCTTGAGAAGATCTCTCTCGGAGAGCGAGAGCGTCGTCCGCGGATCTTCAAGGTATTGCTCTCGTTGCATATCCTCGGATCCTCTGACAGGGCTGGACGTCACTTCAGGGACCTATTCCAACAGGGCAGAAGAGCGACCCATCCCGATCTTTCCAAGTCTTACGGATGCTCGATTACAGGAGTCCGGAATCGCCAATCTTCCCGATGGAGATCAATTTGGGTGAGCAATTAGGCCAGCTAACAAGTGGCTTCGGTTTTTAATTTTGGAATTTAACATTCGATCCTCGATCATTCATCACGATGGATTCCACGAGGTCTTACTTGTCGTCATGAGTCTGGGGTATTACTTGAAAACGAGAAGCTAACGTAACGGAAGAATTATATTTCTCCGGTTCTCAAATATTTCTTGGTACTGAAACGTCCTCGGTTCTCTAATCCTATTTTTAGACATGGTCCATTTCGCTCGTTCACGATCGTTTCCTCCGACTCGATTCGTCGTATCTCCATTTCTACGTTTTATACTGATTCGACGTGCGACGTTTTCTCATTTAATCACATCCCTTTTCTTCCATCGGCTGGATATTTTCATGTTGCGTTGCAGCCGAATAACGGCTCAATCGCTCTTTGTTTCCCTTAATAAAGAAAACGTTGCCTCTTCTCCGTAGAATTCGCGGCGATGCAATTCGGCCGAATACGTTACGCTCAAAAATAGACTTCATCTTCATTTGACATAATTCCTAAAGATCCTAAAGGAATAGCTCATCTGTACTGCGTATTACTTTAGTCGATACTTCCAGTTCCTTCCTTCCACTCTTCTCCGGCTGCACGAGCAACATTTCTCTCTTCTCCCCTGGTGCGCATTTCGTTGCTTGACGGATTTATACTTTTTGTTTCAGAGCTACTCTTTCCGATGAGGATCTCGAGGTATGCCGGGCACGTTTAACATTTGATTTGCCAGTTTCCACATTGCAGCCTCCTATTTTGCTTTTATAATTTGATGTCTTGTTGATCTTGCTTGGCTTAGAGAAAGTACACGGCTCTTTCCGTGGGTCTCGGAACGGACAGGGTGACCTTGCCGAAGCGAATGGCCTTGAGTTTAAGACAACGCGACCAGGCAGAGAAAAATCTTGGAAGGGAGGTGCAAAAGATGCACGAGGACATTCAGGCAAGTTATTCTCGAATTAAGAATTAAAAGATTCTTGTCCGTTAGGCCTGAGAGGATCCTGTGGAAATACATGTACTCAGGCAATCGAGCCTGCACATCTTGTCTTGTGTCGCGCATTTTATCCTTTCGATGAGTCTCAAAGCGTAAGGCTATCTGTAAAGGCCTCGACGATAGATAGATAGAACCTAACCGTAATGTCTCCGTGTCAGGCCCTCGCCCCGCTTTGCATCGACAGGGAATCCGTCGAGAGGGTCGAGAGGGTTAGACATCAGCTCGAGATGATCGGCCAGTGCGCACACATTGTCTCTTGCGCGGCGGAGACTCTCGGTGCCGTTCATCAGGAGCAGAGAATATCCAGAGCAGTTCATCTCGCCGATAGGTATCTCCGAGTCTTGCGCACCAGATGCCAGAAATTGGCCAGCGAACTCACGGAAACCAAGTGAGACTCTCTCTCTCTCTCTCTCTCTCTCTCTCTCTCTCTCTCTCTCTCTCTCTTTCTCTTCATCGAAGAGATTAATCTCTTCTCGATTGTCTTGTTCAACTTCACTCCGCCCCGTCTTCCCTAACCGGCCGGACCTCTTGCTTTCTCCTTTTCCTTATCCTTTGGATGACTCAGGCTTTACAAAAAAATTCGCTATTTCCTCTTTGCTTCTGCTCCTTCGCGTGTCCTCGAGGCGACCAACGGAATATCCCAGACAATGCGCCGGTTGCTGCGTTTTCAAATCAAAAAGCGATTCACGTTTCAGGCGTGTACTTACGGAGAACAACATAATGGTAGAGGAATCGCCAAGCGAGCTGGGAGACGACGTTCCTCGACTACGTTATCGCAGTCTTCCCACCACCAATCGTACAATGGTTCGAAAAATGAACGATATTAAGCCCTGCTTCAACTGCGCTTCGGCATTCCTTTTACTTTCTACGCTTATGCCAATTTCTCATTTGGTCTACTTTTATGCGTTTACTAATATTTCGTATTATACTGATTGTACTGATCAATTGATCAAAGAACATGGGGACAATAGCACTATTCTAGTTCTGTTATTTAGATGACCAGACGAAGGGCCAGCATAGCGACGATATCACGGCCACCCGGGACTCCTCTGGATCAGGTTGCAAAGGCAACGTGTCGCCACTTTATATCATTCTTCCGAATTGCTTTCCATTTCCCACTGATACCGACTCTCAAATACTCAATCAGTCTGTCACATGTAACAAGTAGAATTCGCCGCTTTTTCGTTCCTCGCTTATCCTTGTCTGATTAACACTCTCGTGTAGGAGGGTACCAAACAACGAAACTCCGTCTCTGGAAGGATGACCATGAGAAGACCATCGCTCAGTTACGACGTGCAGAAATGGGAGAACAATAAGCTAGACCGAACCGAGTGAGTGTCGATTATGTTCCTGGACTAGTAAATAGATTATCCTTTGGTGAAAAAACTCTGTCTCAGCAGCAGTTCGAGCAGTATCGCCGGCGAATTGCGCGAGATTTTCGAGCAGGCGGAATCACGACGAAACTCCTTGGAGGAAAACAATAATCTCGTGAGGAGTCGCTCGAGCAACCTTAGTCTCGGAAGCTGCGACAGTGTCGATTCCGATGTCTGGACCATATCTAGAGACGATTTGCTCCCGGAGATTCCTGCCTTTGAGAATTTCCCTCCAGCGTCGCAACTCGTGAGGTAAGAGAAAGTAGGATCTCGTCTTATTGATCATTCTTACCATTACGCTTAATGTCCCTGTATTTTTAATTTTTAGTCGCAGGACATCCCAGGTATTACGAAGTATACAGGCACGAGTGCAGGCTCGCATCCAAATACCAATTCAGAGCTGCTTAGGGTCCATCTCAATTTTCTGGTATATACTTATTTTTGCGCTTTTCTGTGGATTCTGCATAAACTTGGCAAAGTCCTCGACCTCAAAATGCGGAGAAACGCCATTGAAATGGTGGTCCATTCAAGAGATACTTGGACAATACGTACGGGTGCGACAGGGTGCCCCGAGACCCATATAACATAAGAGTATATCAGCATATAAACCCCCTCATCGCGAGGATCATCGTCTTAACGTTAGAAGAAATCCCTCTTATCATTATCAATTTCTATTCATTCAATGGGG